ATACAGGGCCGTTACTATGTAAATGGATGAGAACATGATCTCAAGTATTTTGTCTTAAAAATAGTACAAGAGAAACGGTGGGAATTACAAGCACCTGAATAAAAGTATAATCTGTAAGATCCATTTTGAATGTTTTGTGTGTGAAAACCCCTCCATCTATACACTTGGAGTCTGTTCCTATTGATTCCTTTAGTTGCACATATTTTTAGTCTTTTTGATTGCGTTTGAGTTGTTAATGTTTGTATTTTATTGCAGATTTTATGTTTCTTACGCCTTTACTAAGTTTTGATGTTTCTCCCTGGTCTGCATTTGTGTTGTTTTACTTGATACTTAGTCTTGGCGGCAGCCATATTGCTTCGTTCCTCCTATTGATTGTGTTGGTGGATTGACTGGAATTGTGCATTTTTTATTGTAAATTGAAGCACTCTTTCAGAATTGGAAAAACTCTGTGTTATAAAGCAATCAAATAGTATCTTTTGAGCGAATCTATGCGTGATCTATCCACACACTATAGAATAGCATTTATTTGTTGCGATTGATAATTTTCTCGCATCCTTTATCAATTTCCTTTTTTATTCGAATTTAGATTTGATTAATTGAACAATTATTGGTCGGATAGCTGGGTGGTCGTATTTGTTTAGGTAATAATGTACATTTAAATTTATAATGAATTTAAGAACCTTCACTTTACCCAACCACTTTGTTTTGGTTCCAACCGGGCAAGGGCGCGTATCTAACTCACCTGGACAGCTATTCTTTAGTCAAAACCTCAGTTTGGATCCTACATAATCATTTCGGTAAGTTACAAGGAGAATATGCAGAAGTTATCCGAACCTGGACATGAATTGGTGTAAAAGTAGGACGAAGTATACCTGGTTAAATTTATTATGCCTTCAGAAGTTCCAAATGAAGTTCCAAATAATAAACAGAATTTAATGGAATTTTCGGAATTTATTTGTCTCATGAATATTATTAAGAACCAGAACTGATGTGTATTGAAAATAGACAAACGGTAACTGACATTTTATATATAAGTAAATCCATGTGGAGAACTGATATTTCAGGCAAGTCAAAACCTCAAAAATTAAGAAAAAATCAGACACTAAAATTTTAGAAAGTGAAAGCTTATGGAAATTTATCACCTTAACGGAGACTTCTGCGAAAGTCAGTACGACATAACTGAAGGGCATTGATTTCACTAAATAGCTCAAGTAGTCACTTCGATGTTGCATCATATATGTAGATTTTGTCGATGTTTTGATTCCTTTGAGATGGTGCATTTTGTATCCAATTACAGTTTTCGAATGGAGTTTCGTATTTTTGATTGTGGATTGAAGCACTCTTCCGGGGCTGGAGACAATCAGTGTTATGTCAGAACTAAATATTGTCTCATGATGATATTGTATTCTCAGTTGACAGTATGTTACATGAGGCATGCTAGTTCACAGGCAAGGTGAATTTATTACATGTGCTACAGGCTTTACTTTATGAGGTTACTCAATTCTTTTGATATGTAGGGTACTTGGGTAATATAAAGCGGGAATAAATTCTTATGCATTAAAATATTAATTTTAGTATGACTCTAATGTCCAATATGATAGTTGGCACGCTTTGTGGAGGTTGAGTTACGACAAGCAACTAGTGGTCGGGAATAACTGAAAGTGAAGTCCAGAGCAGTTAATAGAAGAGGTTAACCTGGATATATTAGTTTGCGCTTCTCGTTAGTGATCCCGGATAAATTCTGAAAGTATAAGTGGTGGCTCAGGACAAAGTCATATGTTCCACAAATGTTTTCAGCGGTATTACATGAGGGTGATGAAAAAGAAGGCAAAGAGAATAGGAGAAGCAGGACGGACAGTGTTCATAACTGGCGAAGGAAGGAATTTAAAGAAGCTGGAAGTTCAGAATTATGTGTATTTCTGTAATTTAGTAAGGGAAATACAGTGTTCAAGTGATAATTAGCTTTTCCTCGTCAAAAGTTCTGTAAGATCCATTTTGAATGTTTTGTGTGTTTGTGAAAATCCCTTCATGTATACACTTGCACTTTGTTCCTATTGATCCCCTTAGTTGTACATTGTTGTCTTTTGATTACATTTGAATTGTTAATACTTGTATTTTTCATTATAATTTTCGTTTTTCTTACGCATTCACCAAGTTTGTGTTTCTTCCCGATCTGCGTCTGTGCTGTTTTGCTTGACACTTGTTCTTGGCGGTAGCCATATTGATTTGCTCTTCCTTTTGTGTGTGTGTTCTATCCAGTCAGGATAGAATAACGTTCATTTGTTGTGACTGGTAATTTTCCCTCATCTTTTGTCAACTACTTTATTTATTGTAATTTAGATTTTATTGATTGAACAATTATTGGTTGAACAGCCGGTTGGTAATATTTGTTTAGATAACAATTTACATTTAAATTTATGATGAATTATAGAACCGCTATTTACCCGATTACTTGTTTTGATTTTGACCGGCAAAGGCGCGTGTCTAAAGTACCTGGAAGGCTATTCAGCAGTCCAAACCGTGGTTTGGATCTGACAAGTATTGCGAGTCGTTTTCATTGCTGTAACATTTGTAAAGTCATGAGTGAACTCATATTTAGCGTCATTGGTCAGTCTTGCTTGGAATAGTATCTCTTGGTAGGAAATAAAACCATCTAATGGCCACAGGTATGCGTCTGAGAAGTGTTTAGCATAAGAAATCAACATCAATACCATTGATTCGTGACATCCTATTTGACTATAAGGGTTCGTAACTAAACAAAATTTTCTGTTCTATCTTTCGTAAGCTTTGTACGTGATCTGTCAGGGAAGGATAGGATTACATTACCGTGTTGATAAGAACACTTATTTGTTGAGGTTGATTTGGTTACTGAATAAGCAATTATTAGTTGAATAACTGATAGGTAATATTGTTTTAGACCATTCCTTCGTTTAACTACTCTATTTTAGTTTTTACTCAGCAAAAGTGCATATTTAAGTTGACCTTAACTGTTATTTCTCATTCCAGACTCCTTTTGTGTGAAAACTACGATGATGTAAATACGAAAACCGAATTTTTAAGTCACTGGTGTTAACTGTTTCCGGCTGGTAGTTGCTTGAGAAGTGATTTAACTTTCGATAAAATGTCGAAACTGTGCATCGTTAGGCATAGACGTTTTATAATCTGAATGATTACGAACTCGTCTCGTCTGTATCTTATTTCACCCATTTATTTACGCCATATATGCATCATTCTACAACATTTCCTAATGATGGCAACCGTGTGCTCCTTGAATAATGACCCCAGAATCATTTCTGTTTCTGAACATATAAATGTAAACAACGGATTTTTAACTTAACTCAGGATTGTCAATATTCACCTTGCACTGTATGCAGACCGACTACGTATTTGGTACGGAGAATGCGCTTACATTTAATCATGAAAGCAACATACCGTGATCATCAGTAGTATGAAACTCAAAGAGTTAGGCGATTACAACCAGATATGTTAGCGAAAATTATTTGATCCGTTTCAGTTACGAAATGTGAAAATGCACTGTGTGCCGTCTGTCCAAATACATACCAAATCTTGTGCTATTACGGATAGCCAAATATTCATTTTAGATTGTCTGTCATCGAATCTGGGATGGATATACTTTCCATTTATCTTAAACTCATCAAAGTGTTGTAGCGTGGCGTCGAGTCCCAGTTGACTATGAACACCGCTACCAAGAAACATGTGCCAAATAAATCAGAAGGCGGATTGGAATGAAGTTTATTCAATTGGCGATCTCGTGGTATTGAATGAATACCAAGATCGTGCCAAGAAGTGGTACAAGGGAAAGCAGGAGAACGGAGTAGGTGCGAACAAAGCCGAAAACCGCGGAACAAAGATGGAAGGTAATGGAAGCACAAAATGGCTGTAATTAGCACAGTTAAACAAAAGCACATTTAAGCAAGCACTGGTACAGTTGGTTATAATAATAAATATTTCATTAAACCAATCGTGTTCTCGTGATAAAAGCGAGTCACTACAGTTTAAAGTAGCCCATCTGAGACGTTGCAAACTACAATTACAACTTAGGTAACTCCCCTCTAAAATTATATCAAGTTGAATAAGATTTAGGAGTGTTGATACCCAGTGATCTGAAGTTTTACTCTAACCGCAACAAGAATGCCTCTCGAGAAATCCTTGCACTGTAACGTCGAAGCTCATTTTTGGTCAGCCCAACGGTAAAACTTCCCACCCACTCTTGAACAATTTCATATGATCTCATTTAGAGTATGAAAATAGAATGTTTTCTTTCCCACTCCAAAAAGAAAAGAGTATATTGAAACATATAGAAACGAATGCCACAAAATAATTTCAGGGACTCAAATCTAAACCTTATGAAGAGCGCCCCAAATCGCTAAAACTTTACGCGATGAGGAGAATTATGGACCTACGGAATGCTTAACACTCCTAAACATTCTCTCAAATACCTAATTAGGCTCAGTCCCAACAAAAGCCTTGGGAGTAACACCCAGAAACTGGAAACGACATAGCAGGATAGACTATGGTCACACTTTCTACTCCTCAAAAGTGGTCGAGTGCTCGAGTCCTCTGTCCGCTGAGCCATTCTAAGAGACTTTTCAAGAGTCATTTATGAGAAAACTCTGTACATTCATAAGGACTAAGGACAAAATCTCATTATGATTTACCAATAATTTTTTTCTCTTTAATAATTAAATATACTTATGTTCCTACCTACCGACACAGATGATCCACTATTACTAGATACTAAAGCCAAATAAGCGAAAGCTTCTTCTATTCCATTCAGAACTGTTTGGAACCATTCTTTGGACCTATTCTTAAGAACCAAGGACAGCATCACACTATGATTTACCAATTTCTTTTCCTCTTTTATTGTTAACATACCTAGGTTCCTGCCTGGAGGATTTCGTGATCCCCTGCTACTAGACACGGAAGCCTGTTAAGCGAAAGCTTCTTCTATTCCGTCCACAACCATTTGAACCATTTGAATGCAAAAGACCGGGAAATGTCAAACTTGCGGTACGTTCGCTTGATTGTAAGGTTTGGGATATATCAGTCACTTCTTGTATTTATGGATATTGTGACTTGTAATTTAATCTATATTTGCACATTTTTTTCCCAAATGGACACGTTAAGTGACACATTTTCTTGCTTTTGGGGCGTCTCTAATATGTTTGTGAATGTTAGCACCACCGCAGTCCAATTGCGCCTCACGTTCTGTATAATCGCTACATCGGCCACTGGAACTTTGACCGTATAATGCAGTCGTAACTTGGATTTATAGTAAAAGTCGCTAGTATGGTACTTCACACACGGAAGTAGTGTAATTACACTACTTCAAGTTTTAAGGATTGAATTGAACGTAGTTTAAATTTAGCTGAGGTACTAAGGTCATAGAAACAAATTTATTTTTTTAACTTAATTAGAAATTCGAATCATGGGTTTACTTGCAATAGTCCTTCTGTCTTTCTATTTCAGACAATAAGAACAACTTTCGTCAACTTGCAATGGTTTGTTCACCTGGTTCCCAAAGATCTGTAAGCCGAAGTACAGCTCACACTCATAGCGCAAGCCGAAGTCGATCTAGGAGTGGCAGTATTCGGCGAAGTTATACACATTCGAATCGTAGTCGATCAGGAACCAGATCATTTTCCAGACGCAGTTCCCATTCACGTCGGAGTACTAGGTCGAAAAGTCATTCCAATTATTCTCGTTCACATTCTGGCAGTCGACGTTCCAGATCATGGTCTAGATCACGTTCACGCTCTCATGGTCGGTCTGCTTACTCGTCACGTTCACGTTCTGCTAGTCGTTCCAGATCAAGATCTTATCGTAGTCGGAGAAAGTCGTTTTTTAGAAGTAGAACAAGAAGTTGTTCGTATCATTCAGTTCGTTCACGATCACACAGCCCCAATTCAAGAAACGTTTCACCAAGCGCCAAATGTGTCAAAGATCCGAGGGATCGTTCTAAGCGTGCACATTGGACAAATAATGTAATTATCTATCGAATTATTCCATTTGTTAACATCGAAATTATTTCAATTAACTTTTGACGTCATGATGCTATTCAAGCTTTTGTTTCTATTGCATAATTTTTTCTTGAATAACGACTGTAATTGTACTATTACTAGTAATTCTGTGCATCCTACACACGTGCTTAGAGCCTGTTTGGTGAATCGCGTAGATTAATGTAGTACAGTGAAATCCTGAATAGATATTCTTCGAAAAGATTTTTACCAGTGTTGGATTGGGAAAGTGGATTCATTTTCTTTGACATGAATCTTTGAAGAAATCCCTGTGTTGTTTCAATATGATATATAAATTAAGGGTCATATATTTTTTGTGGGCATTCAACCATTAAATAGGGATATAACAGGTTTTAGAAGACTGAACGACTAGACAAAGGCATGAGATGTCTGTGAAGTCATTAACTTTTAGATTAATCCCTGTAGGTAAGTGCAGACAAATTTGTTGGGGTCGTAGCGATTATCGTAATCAGTGCTTAAAGATATTGGGTGGCTTAGCTCAAACAATTGCAATAGAGCGGATGCATTCATTCTTTGTCTTCCCTTAGATCATGAGTTTTAAAACTATCGTTTACTTTCTATTTCCTGGGTTTATACTTCTTAAATCATATTCTTAATGCATAATCTTTTCTACTACCGTTGATATTGTCATTACTTTTACTACCCTGTGGTTGTTTATTAATTTCATCTCACTGCTAATATAATGTCTCAACATGAATCGGTGCAGAAATGTTCCACTTTCTGTTCCTTATAACTGACCAATTAATTTGGCTGTCATTCTTAACTTTCCGTTGTCATTAACTATTCTCTCACCATATTTCTCATGTCTAGGTCTCCACTACAGTTGGCATTCATATTATCTCATCTTTGTTCCTCATCTTGTTAATTTTGCCTATCGTTACGCTGACGTAAGGTGCGGAATATGGATCGAACCTATGCACGTTAGTACCAAATCCTGCGTTCACTATGGTTATCTGCTGAACTATATATATTGATGGTGCATGTGAAACTAGTGTTATCCGCAAATCTCATAATAGGTCCATGACGACTAGATTCCGAATCGGCTTTGTTGCTTGACCTGTTTTTTCGTCACTCATCAGCTAGGTCTCCAGTAGTATCATAGACTTACGAACTACATCTCAATAATATGTCGATCCAAAACGTTCAGTATCATTGCATTGTAAAATATATCAGGACAAAAAGAATCTGTTAGCCTGAGGGATTTCTGAAAATTTGTCTCCATAAATATTTTCGTGTCATTAATGATAATGACAGTCAAGTTCCCACTAATGAATAGCTTTTCAATGGGTCCTTTGAATTCCAGTAAGAAATTGTAGGTAGTAGTGGAACCTGAGACATCTCACTGATAACAGTGGGTAATGATCATGTAGTATCGCAAATTCATTGGATTTGGAAATGTGGTACATTGAGTTTCAGGTAATCGATTTTAAGCTAATCTGGAATACTCAATTCACAATGGGCTCAAGGGTGGATACTTTCATGGATTCCTAGGATCATGCTAACATCAGTTACTCTCTGATTTTCGATGACTGTCTAGTTAGAGAATCTGTCGTATTTATTTCCATCACCCGTTTTCTACTTTTCTTTCTTACGAAATAGGTTTGGCTAGTTGGTGAAAAAGCAAAGGATACAGTTTTTCATTTCTGTGATATTTGTGATTTACCGATTGTAATCTATGGACGTTTGGTAGGTGGGTCTATTTTGTCAATAATGTGCTTTTTTCTCCAAAATAGCTACCTTGTAAGCATGTATTGTGTTATACATGTGCTATGAATCTTATGAAGAAATGTAATAGGTGAGTTGATTTGCGCTTATGTCTGTCCTTCACATACTTCGGTAGTTTTTTTAAATTCTTTTGACTAACAAGTGTAAGTAAACACAGGCTTTCAGATATTGTTCTGGCTATTTATGGAGCAGAGCAGGTAGATCATTTTCCTCATAATTATACAATATCATATTTATATGTTAGCTGAGGCACTACTTAAGGGCCTAATCGGAGGCTGAGTGTTTTAGTATGCGACTGTTCCCCCATTCGTATTACCGCTGTCACACAAAATGTTGGCTGAGGTAATATACGGAGTTAAGTAGAAGATTTATGCTCATAGCATTTTCGCACGGTCAAATCGGATAGAGATCACGGCACCGCAAAATCTCTTAACTAATCTAACCAGTAGTGTTTAAGTAGAAAGCTTTCACATGGTTTATATACTCCATTGATCGGTCACACTGATAACTATTCAGTGAGTAATTAATCTAGTTATTTCTATTTATCTATACAGTGTATTCTTAGTAATTTAATGTGTATATTTCTCTAATTAGATGTCAAAAGTCTATACAAACTGTGGAACGATGTTTAGTCGGAGGAATATTCATGTGCTTTGAAAGTGATGGTTGCCGGCGTACTTATCTCAGTCATCGTGATCTTCAAGCCCATATTGACCATCGACATCGTACTGGGTCAACTGCAATTACTTCGGTCGCTAATAATAGCAGTAGTAATAATGTAAATAGTACGATGATAACTAAAAACGATATTGTCACACATTCAGAAATAATTACACCTTTGCCAAACCAAGTCAATTTTACGGAAGAGGCGTCTCTACTTTCCGGCGTTGTAAAAACTATAACAACAAATGCTAATCAAGTGACTACACCTTTATCCATAGATAAGACAACGACTGGTGCTCCTCCTCCAATGTCTTTGTTAGGTCCATCACCAAGGTTAGTTATGAATACGATGATTCCACCAACTTGTGGAATAACTCAACCGAACATTTATATTAATAATCAGAAAAACAGTGGTCTTTTACCATTACCGCCTGCACAGACTTCATCCTCAACAATTTTTTCGAATCGACTTCCTATGGGAATACCTCGACCGCCTAGACTAAACAACCTGAATAGTAGTTGTAATACTACAACTAACAATAATAATAACAGTAATAACACTGTTACTAATAATTTTCCTCAACTTCAACAGTTCACAAACTGTCCTCCGCTTACACTTCCACCTCCACCATCTATCGGGGCACCGAATATTCGTGCGCCACCACCAGGATCACTACAACAAGCACCACCACCGTCTGCATTTCTTGCTAATTCACTCTCCATTCCGTCATCGTCGTCCACACAGCATAATCAGAACTTTAGTGGTGCTTCAGCTGTTGCTGCTTTAGCTGCTGTTGTCTCAGCGGCGATGTCAGCAGCAGCTGTCCAGTCGAAATCCGCTGGAATGACAGTAGTTGGTGGTACAAATAATCTATCTGGAGCAACGATTCAACAATCTTTGACTAGTAATCAAATCCAGGTAATTATGTATAAATATTTTATTCGTTCATTTTACTAATCACTTATTTTGACCGATATCGTCGTTTGTCGGTTGAATTCATATGAGATTGAACTCATTTAGAGTCGTATTGAAAATTAGCGAACCAACTATTTCGTCCTAGTATTCGCCTCCTTGGCAGCACGGACTCACGATATCACCAGGGATGATAAACAGGACCTACAGGTTTCATGGCTAACACTTAGCCACTAGAATACGACCTACATTTCAACCAGTCTACACACAATCCACTGAGCTGTTGTCTTCATTATATTTAGTGGTAATTTTCATAATAAACTTGGATTGGGCGTAAAAATAACATTGAAAATGACAGGGAAGGTGTTTTCTTATAAGTCCAGGATGTTTTTACGCATTTGACCTTAATCATAGTTGAACCTGAAACTTCGCTCTTATCTAGTCTTAATGAAATTCAGCCTTTGAAAACTGAAGATATTTGTGCAGTGTTAGTATTTAAATAGCAGATATATTTTCGAAGCGTTGTTTGGCTATGGTGTAATGTTGAAACGATGGGCTAGATAGTGAATATTGAGTACTGGCTAGTTGATGAAGCTGTGAAATTCCATCGACATAGGTTATTGGCCATAAGTAGCATATATAATAATTGTTCTTTTATAAGATAAATACGACCAATTAATTTTCTTTCTCCACACAATTTCAGTAACACGGAAGAATTTTTACTTTCAGGAGTGCTGTTGTATTGTTATTGTCAACAGGGAATTATTTTTAAGGGAGTTGAATTTGTTAGTTAAGAAAACTGGGTAAAGGATCAGCTGATTTATTTATTTATTTATTTAAACACATAAATATTGGTACAAGAGAGCGCCAATATATATGCGCCACACAAAACAATGAGAATTCGAAGAGAAGTAGAAAGAAAAAAAACTAAGGAACGCAAAAGAAAAAGAGAACAATGACGAAGAGATTGGAGTAAGGTAGTGTGGTAGTAACGACGGCACGAAAAGGTACAATCAGAAGAAATCTTTCAGGTAAAGGAGACACAACCACTTTTTATGAAGAAAGTAAAAGAAGGTTACAGCAGGATCGCCACTGGCTTCTATTCTGAGCCATATCTGATAACGTCTCTAGCCACTGTGTAGCACCATCTCTCAGACCCCAGCCAGGGAGTCGTGAAGGACCAACACAAGCCAGTCCTTTGCAGCTTTCTTTCATGCCACGACACCATGTCATGCACTGACCACCTCTCCGCTTCTTCCAACCAGTCCCAGAGTCGGCAAATAATGCACGACGTGGAATTCTCTGGGACGACATTCGGAGAACATGTCCAAGCCACCGAAGTCGGTGTTTCAAGATGGTGACACCAATTGAGTTATCATCTCTGTGCCCGAACACACGATGCCGAACCTCTGCATTACTGACATGGTGTTGCCACTGAATGTCAGCAATCCTTCGGAGACAGCGATGATCGAACACGGAGAGTCGTCTAACGTCCTCAACTCGGAGAGGCCAGGTTTCACAAGCATAGAGCAAAACTGCTCTCACCGACGCGTTGTAGATCCGGCCTTTTACAGCCAGACTAACATCACGAAGGCGCCAAAGGTGGCCCAGATTGGCATAAGCCGCTCTGGCTTTCACTATACGTGCATTGATCTCATCACTTACACCCCCACCAGCACTTATGCAGCTACCCAGATACACGAACTTCTCAATTACTTCTATCTGCTCACCATCCAGGGTGAGTACAGGATTAGAATCCTGCCAGTCTTGTAGAAGTACTTTGCACTTCGAAGGTGCAAAGCACATACCATACCTACGGACACTGATTGCCAACTGATTAAGTGCGGATTGCATGCCTTGGGCATTATCGCACAGTAAGACAATATCGTCCGCATACTCAAGGTCGAGAAGTCTTTCTCCAGGCAACAGATCCACACCACCATTACTTACATTCATCAGAGCTGTTTCCAGAATGTCATCGATGGCAAAGTTGAAGAGGAATGGTGAGATTGGGCAACCCTGCCTAACCCCACTGCTTGAATGGAACAATGGAGAGAGGTGGTTGTATGCCCTCACTCTGCCTGAGGTGTTTTTATATAGGGCTTTTAGGATGTTAATAAATTTCTCAGGCACACCCTTCTTCAATAGACAATCACAGAGAACAGTCCTATCCAACGAATCGAAGGCAGCCCTGATGTCAAGAAACACTACGATTGTTGGCCTTTGAAAAGTATGGCGGTGTTCTAACATTTGGCGGAGGGTGAAGATATGATCAATACATCCTCGACCAGAACGAAACCCAGCCTGCTCCTCGCGAGTCAATCGTTCTCGGGTTTTGAACAACCTACGAAGAATGACGGAAGCCAATAGCTTGGACGCAATCGGAAGTAAACTTATCCCCCGATAGTTGTTACAGGAACGACGTGAACCCTTTTTAAAGATAGGGACAACTATTTTGGTGGTGTTTTGTTCTCTGAGCTGGATGGTTTAGTCGTGGAGCTTTCATCGTTCTTCTGAACGACATCATCAGCACAAACTTCAGATAGAAGTGAAGTGTTCGAATTTCTCCATATGTGTTTCACAGCTTGTTCTGTGCACCTCGATGTTGATTGGTTCTTGTTGACCTTAAATTTATCATTGTTTACTTCTTTGTTTTGGTTGTGTCTCCCATTGGTTTGATTTTTGTTCCTATATTTATGCATGATTTTCCTGATTGGTTGATAAATTGGATTGATTTCAATATGTTTGTTGATTGCTGATTGACCTGAGTGCCAAGCTTCTAAAAATTCTCTGGTGTTTTTGGAGTTTCCTCTGTCTAAGATTTCTACATTTTCCCAATCGAACGAATGTCCGTAGTTATCCACGTGTATTGATATAAGTGAAGAGATATCATGGCGTTTGACTGCTAATTGATGTTCATGTAGGCGTAGGTGGAGGGGGCGTCCGCTTTGTCCGATGTAGTGTTTGTCGCAGTTGGTACAATTTATTTTGTAGATGATGTTTGATTTGTTTTCCTTTGTTATTTCATCTTTTGGTTTGCATAGTATTGATTGTAACAAAATCATCATCGAGGTGCACAGAACAAGCTGTGAAACACATATGGAGAAATTCGAACACTTCACTTCTATCTGAAGTTTGTGCTGATGATGTCGTTCAGAAGAACGATGAAAGCTCCACGACTAAACCATCCAGCTCAGAGAACAAAACACCACCAAAATCATCCACCTGAGCTACAAATCTTCTCCACCATCTCAAGGGACTACTATCGACTCATTCCATGACGTTGGTACACTCTCTAGTTCCCAAACCTTTGTAAACAACGTCGTCAATTCCTTAGTCAAAAAGTCACCACCATCTTTAAAAAGGGCCGGAGGTAAGTCATCTGGGCCAGGTGATTTGTAACGCTTCAAGAGTTGGAGTTCCTTGCGGACTTCCTCCTCATTTGGTGGATCAGTCGTCACCGGCCATGGAGGGCAGGACAGTCTGACCGATGTTGCCTGAGCAGCAGGCCAGTTGAACTGCCCTTCGAAAAATTCTGCCCATCGTCCAAGATGTCGATGGATGTTAGTGATTGGCATCCCATCATCCTCGCAGATTGTTTCACTCACACCAGACTTCTTGCTGCCAGTGGCTCGGATGAGCTGGAAGAGCTTCCGGCAGTTACCAGATGCAGCTGCTGCTTCCAGCTCATTAGCACGCTTCGACCACCAGGCTTCTCGGTCCTTACGCAAGCTTTGCCCAATTTCCTCACGTAACATCCTTCGTTTATGGTCAAACTCACGGTCACCCGGAGTAGACCGATTGGCTTCAATGAGTTGTAAGGAACCAGAAGAAACCCAGTGCTTAAAAGCGGGACGTTTCGCAAACCCACAACTGACTGTTCCCGCCATTTTCATGGCGTCATGCAATTGCAACCAATGGTCATCTATACTTTTCGGTGGAGTGGTAGCTAGCCTAGAGGCTAGCTCGGTTCGATACTTACTTGCAACAGAAGTTGCAACCAGCTTGCTAATATCAATCCGTTGATGGCGTTCACTTCGTTGTCCACTGAAAAGTAAGGCAAGATTGGCGCAGACCAAGGCATGGTCAGAGTCCAGATAGGTACTCCAAAAGGAGCGGCAGTCTTGTACACAACCACGCCAGCGGTAGCTGATCGCGATGTGATCAATCTGAGTCCAGGCTTGAGATGCAGAGGGAGGACGCCAGGTGGCACATCGGCGATGACTGTGCCGAAAGTTAGTGCTAGCCAGAAACAGGTTGTGGTCTGTGCAAAGTTGCAGTAGACGGTCCCCGTTATCTGACCTGCGACCAACGAGTCCCCATCGGCCACCTAAACGACTCTTCTGTGCCTAGACGCCCGACCTGAGCATTCAGGTCTCCGGCTAGTACTACAATATCTGTCGAACGCACTTTCTGGAGAAGAACTGATAACTGGTGGTAAAACTCATCCTTGATTGCATCCGGGCTGCAATCTGTCAGGGCATAGGCGGAGATGACGAAAAGACATCGTTTCTCACGCCGATTTCTTCTCACTTTGATGGAACTTTCTAATCTAACAGCACATAACCGACTGTTAATGGGGATCCAATCGACTAGTGCTGCCTCAGCTCTAGCGCTTAGTGCGACACCAACGCCAGCAAGACCAGACGAAGATGCCACAGGGTCCCCGGATAAGCGCACGTAAAACAAGCTTTTCGAAGCGACAGATGGAGATCGAATTTGTAGCACTTCGCCAGAGTCTTGAGTACGGGTCTCGGATAGACAACACACGTCGATATTAAGACTTTCCAAAGACATAGCCAGCCCTATCAGCTGAGATAGTTTATAAACTATAAATTTTACATAAATAGACTGTAGTGTATAAGGTTAGGGTTATTTGTAGATCATCAAACAGAAGGGTTACATTATTCGATGAAAAGGTATTGAATATTAGATCGAATGTCATTGATATCTGCTTATTGATGATTAAAAAGTATTTAGTTCTCACCTAGTAGATTACAATTCTGAACACTGTTCCGCCTACTTTTATTTGCCCAGCCCTCAAGTAACTAAAGTGTGATCCAAACCCAAGTTCTTGGTAAACTTATAAAACCAACTCAATTGAAATTAAAGCAGTAATTCTCGCATAACATTGGATAATGATCACATCAACTACATGCTGACAGAATTGAAAAATATGAAGCAATAAATTCCCCTGCTTTGTAATGTAAATGAGTTATGGCTTAGTTTAGATCTAGTAATCATCAGCTCTGCCCACTATGATAAGACCATAGGTGTACATTGGTCAGAAGCAGTAAACAAGGATGGAACATTTGTTCAGTTTTTTTTAGTTTGGCCATTATTAATGATCACAACAATATCCGTAACTTGATCTTTATTCATTTATCTAGACTTTTGAATTTATATGGTTAATATTTCATGTAATTCATGTATCTCCGGATATATATTTTCTAAATACTTTTCCTAGCCACCTAATCCATTGAATGCCTCATCATTAATTACAAATGCACTTCGAGCTACTAACCCCAATTGGAATCCATTGGCTACTGGTGTATCGAATACATTGAATAACAGTAACAATAATAATAATGCAAATAATAATAATAATAATCAGAATAACTTTAACTCAAGATGTTTACCATTTCAATAAGGAAATGTGCTTGTATACATTTGACTGTTACATTCATAAACTTTTTTTTATCTTAATGTAACTTTGTAACACAATTTTCAATATTTTTTGTTTAATATAAGACAAACTACTGTGAGTAGTCAAGATTTTTTATCACAATTATTGTTTCCCATTAAGATTTTATGGACTATTGGCTAGTGCATTTGTCTTAATAGATTGTTGTGTCACATGGAAGTATACCCTAGATGACTATATTTCTGTCGCTTCAGGATTTGTTTAGTGTTTACAAGTAAGGCCCGACCGTTGTTGCTACCTTGATGTGGTGGTCGGACTTTCCTATCGTGATGAAGCAACCGAGCTATACTGGCTGGAACAACCATTCCTCAAGGTCCCACCATGTCAGACAGGTCGGTTGAAGAGCGGTAAGACTAAAAGCAACAAACCTAAGGTCTGAAGGCGAAGTCGTACTGCTGACTGTACAGAGGTGTGACAGCAGTAAGGCGTTTCCTTCAGACAACCAGCACAACAGCGATGCTGCCTTCCCACAAGGAGGGGTGTGGTTAGAAAAGGTCGACCCTAAATATGCACACCTCACCTTATCCCACGGATATCCGTCTCTGGCGGTAAGGTCTCAACAAGTACGGAGCTAACACAAAAATCACCCATAAAAAGGTCGTATGTGACCGACCTCAAGCAGTTGTCCCTTGAGCACTGCAGTCACGCTCTCAGGTCACTAAGACCACCTCTAATCCCATTTCCTTTTCAGGCTCCTTCAGAAGAAGCCTTCCACGGTGTGGGCAACCGGTAAGTAAAAACTGCCCCCATACTTCTAGCAGCACTCAAGACCACTGTATTCATAATCAACTTCTCTCTTTAATTCCTATTATTCCTCCTACATCGACTTTCACCTCTAAACTTCCTCCTTCGGCTTCCCCCTCAAGTGTCACCACAGCCAACGATTCTAGTGCTCAAAACACTGTCCCAGGTCTACTGAAACCTCGCTCCAAGCTACACATTGGAGCCTTCAATGTACGCACTCTATGTCAAATCGGTCAACAGGCTTCCCTGACTAGAACCCTAGAATCTCGTACCATTGATGTATGCTGTGTATCCGAAACATGCATACAGGATCCCAGTTTGGTCATTCACTTGACCTCACCTCGGCAACACGGAGAGCCAACGAGATACACCCTCGGTGTATCTGGTGACGCGATGGCCAGCTCTCGTGGACTGGCAGGAGTAGGGATAGCACTAAGCATGAGGGCGGAACAAGCACTGTTAGAGTGGATTCCCGTCAACAGTCGTTTATGTGCTGTTCGGCTAAACGGCTACGTAAGAACTCGGAAGGATAGGGACACACGTAGTTGCCGTTTTGTCGTTTCTGCCTACGCTCCCACTGACTGCAGCTCAGATGAATTTTAAAGAAAGCTTTCTGAAGGAGTTCAGAAAGCTAAACGCTCAGACATAGTACTCGTAGGAGGTGACTATAATGCCAAGAGAGGTAGTTTAAACCAAACAGAAAGACGTTCAGGCACAGCGAACAGATAATAGTGATCGTCTGCTGCAACTGTGCTCAGACAATCGTTTATTTTTAGCAAACATAAATCTTTAGTATAAGGAAAGACATCGTCTAACATAGCGACGCCCTATACTAAACCAACGATGGACTCAAATAGACCATATTGTCATCAGTCATACTTGGAGAGGATCGATTGAAGATTGTCACTCATTCTGGAGTACCTGCTTGGACTCCTACCATACACTAATACGGGCATGGTGCCTCACTAGACGCAAAAAAAGCCACACTAAAAAGACCCATTAGAACTGACTTGAGTAGCGAGGAAACCAAAAGTAGGTTCCAGGAACAACTGAGGTCACAATTAGGTAGTTCTGAAAACTAGGCTGACCCAGATGTTTCTTGGAAAGAAATACAAACAGCAGTGACATCTATCAATGATATAAACCACAGGGTTACAAAGAACCTATGGATTTCCTCAAGGTCTATTGCACTGATGGATTCTCGTAAACTCATCCCATCAGGCTCTGAACACGATGAAGAGCGACAACAAATCAGATCTAGGTTAACCAAAAGTCCAAAGAACGACCGTGAGCAGTGGTGGGTAACGGAAGCAAAAGAGATGGAAAAGGCGGCGACTATAGGGAACACAAGACAACTTTACGGACTAATAAAAGAAACTGGAATTAATAAGTCAAGTGTAAGTGAGATTATTTCGGAAAAAGACGGTACTCTCATCTGCTCCCAGTCCAGACGTTTAGAACGATGGGCGGAACATTCTAGAGAACAGTTCAACTGGCCTTCAGCTACTCTAAAACTACCCTCCATTCCCAGACAGTGTGAATGAAACATTGAAGTAGGTCCCCCAACTCTTGCTGAAGTTCAAAAGGCTATAGTTAATCTGAAACGAGGAAGGCCAGCTGGTCCAGATGGATTGGTTCCAGAAGTCTTTAAGGATGGTGGTCCAATTTTAGCGATTAGGTTGACTAATATTTTAGCTAAGATCTAGGGATTAGATGTTATTCCATCTGACTGGTCACAATCACTTATCGTCCCAATATATAAGAGAGGGTTAAAATCATCCTGTGACAACCATAGAGGGATTAGTTTAACTAATATAGTATCTAAAATACTAGCCTCGATAATTATCAGACGCCTAACCAAGACTCGTGAACTGCAAACATGAGAGAATCAAGCTGGCTTCAGACCTGGTCGTGGCTGTATCGACCACACATTCACCATTCGTCAGGTTCTAGAACACAGGCATACTTATCGGCGTCCGACAATGGTGGTCTTTCTCGACTTAAAAGCAGCATTTGACTCGGTAGACCGCGAGACTGTGGCAGTGTCTGTCATTGAAAGGCGTACCACAAAAGTACATAAACCTTGTAAAGGCTCTTTACTCGAACACTACTAGTCGAGTCAGAGCTTATGGCGAACTGTCATCTGCTTTTGCAACCTCAAGTGGTGTCCGTCAAGGCTGTCCACTTTCTCCATTTTTGTTTAACTTCATCATAGACCTATTGATGGAAATAACATTCTCGTCTACTGAATTCTCGGGTATTGATCTCCTTCCAGGAGGTCCACTTATCGACTTAGGATACGCAGATGATATAGTCCTGTTTGGTGAAGGCGCTGACAAAATGCAGTCTTCTGGTAGCACTAAGCAAGAATGTCAGAATGTCTGGAATGCGCTTCTCTCCCTCGAAATGCAAGTTGTTGCTTCAGGACTGGTCTGCGTTAACACCTGAACTAAGGATAGGGAGTGAAGTAGTCGAACGCGTTGACAACTTCACTTATCTTGGAAGTCTGATCAGCCCTAATGGGTTAGCATCGGACGGAATCTCAGCACGGATTCGAAAAGCTCGCTTGGCTTATGCCAACTTACGTCACCTATGGTGAAGGCGAGATATCCGTCTATCAATAAAAAGAAGAGTATACTGCGCGGCAGTTCGTTCTGTTCTACTTTACGGCAGCGAAACATGGCCATTAAGAGTAGAAGATACTCGTAAGCTACTAGTATTTGACCACAGATGCCTCAGAAATATTGCTGGCGTCTGCTGGGATCACCGGGTAAGTAATAGTGAGGTTAGACGCAGGGTATTAGGGAATGATGGTAAATCAGTTGATGAGGTTGTGAATCTTCATCGACTGAGATGGTTGGGCCACGTGTTACGTATGCCTGAACACCGTTTACCACGACGTGCAATGCTAACCGGTGTTGGAGATGGTTGGGAGAAAGTTAGGGGCGGCCAAACCAAAACGTGGCACCAGTGCTTGAGGTCACTAACTTCTAGTCCGAGCCATGTTGGTAGATGCAGACTACTTGATTGGGGTCCGCGTGACTATCGTAACCAATTGTTTGGAGACTCTTGGTGACATGGCTCAGAATCGATCACAATAGCGTCGGTGTATACACTCTCTGTCTTCCCTTAGACTATGAGATTAAAATCGCTTCATATCTTCCTGTCTAAAAATTAATTCTTTCTCCCTGTACTATATCCTTATATACAATCTTTCTTTTATATATTACCACCTCTGAATTAACTACTTTTATGAATCCGGTGTCCATCTTGTTGCTCTAATGTGATATGGCAACTTGGACCGATGAATATATGTGCCTGGTCCTATGTTGTAGCTGACTGACTGACTGATAAGTAAGGAGGTGTGGGAAGACTAATTCAACCTGTCTAGTCTTAGGAGGGAGAAAACAATGTCACTACATTTGTGTTATGAAGTTGTAACTGGATTTGTCTATTCAAATCCCAATAAAAAAGTAGTGTGTTACACGGAGATGTTAGTCCATTTGATTTGTACTTATCTTTTTATCGTTAATTTGAATACAGTCTACGTACTTGGCTTCAAGTTACAGAATTTGAATTAAGTTGAGTGAGGTTCGAATCCGAGATCTCTGGTTAGAAGCCAAGTGTCTATGTGAATTCAAGTAGACTACTGTTTATCACCAGCTGTAAAAGTACCTGAGAATTTAAAGAATTATTTGTAAACTACGGGTTCATACTTTTCATAAAGAAAACCATGAAATACATACGACCCTGACGTAGTTAGAATGGAATAATCAATACTGGGATTCAGGTATGTTCAACTGATGAGTCCCAGATTTGACAACACTGCCATTTTAGTATGCACTGCTAGCTTTTATTCATGTTAGAAACAATACAGTGGTGTAGTTCACATACACTTCGTTTGAAATGGTTTCAGTTCAAAGCTCTTTACAATACTAATTGCTTATGTAATATGAAGTGAATTTAGTGTTCTCCAGTTTTATAAATAACAATATTGTACACAACGTATGTTTGTAGTGTCAGTTATTATGCCAAGCCCATATACCTTATTCGAGCTTTCGGACATCCCATTCTATTCATTTTACTTGAGCCATACATTGACCTTGTTATTTATTCGCTTATCAATCTAGACTGTTTTTATATGAGCGTATATGTGTGTGCCCTTCTTATTCCATTAATCACATGTCTGTAGCTTTATTTTT